GAAGTTGAAGATATGATTTTATCATTTGTTGAACGATCTGAAATTTGAGATAGAAGATCAGTATTCAATTCATAGAATTCTTGTATTAAAGTCTCAGCACATGATGAACTTGATTCGATAGCAACCAAAACAATAATCGAAGCTTCGTTGCAAGTTTCAGTGCATTGTGGTATAATCAAGCGTGTTATTTCGGAGCTTACCATTCGTTCCAAATAAGCTGCTGATCGGCAAATTTGAGCGACGTGCTGCAGCCTGATGCTGATGGCCTTTGCTTTTTTCATGACTCCCAAAGACCACCCTTCCCATCGTATCAATTTTGAATGATTTATTGCACCAGGTGCATCGAGCAGCAGTCGGTACTTTGGGATCCGGCGCGCTCCATGGATAATCCTTCTCATACCTCGTCGAATATTTTGTAGTCATGGTTATTTGCTCCAACTTTCTCAAATTTCACTACTCTTATTTGATAGTTTTACACTTATAAACACAGATGGAAAACGCGTCTCACTTTTTTCAATGCAAATGCGGTTTTGAACAGGCCAATGCTCGCGAAATGAATGAAAAAAACACGAAGCTTTTTCATTGACGAAGGTTGATAGCTCGTCGTCGGGTCGGTACGTTTCAGAACATACCAATACATGCGAAGAGCCGAACGTGAGGTGAACGAAAAAGCTTTTAAAAGAGAATGTCGAACGAACCCGATCGTCCAACTTTGCTGAATCTTTTTCAGACGCTTGATCGCCGTCGAAAAAAAAAGCTTTAAGCCGCTTAATGTCGTTCGTTTTTGTTCTGGAGTAACAGCAGATCTGTACTACCGTACGCCCAAATTTTTCAGGGTGTAGCTGTTTGGTGCATGTTTGTTTATAAACGAATGATGCTGAGCTGTCAATAGCTCGCAATTGTTGGCGCTTAGTGTTAGGTACACCTCGAAAACGGAATCGGTGTAAGAGAATAAAAGCTGCCATCGCCAGTCAACATCACGGTGGGACTGATTAGCATTTTCGAATTATATTGAGCAAGTTGGACTGAGAAAGAGTGTGAACTTGTGCATATGCAATTAAATTAAAATAAAATATATAATTTGATTTTTCCCGGTTTTGTTTCGGAATTCCCGGTTTTCCGGTCCATTTCAAATTCCTGGCTTTTCCCGATTCTCCCGGTTCTGTGGCCACCCTGAAAATAACAATTTCAAATTGAATAAGGCGTTCGATGCATTTTATAGAAAAAAGGAAAGTCGGCGGGTCCCGATGAAATCGGGTACCCTCTACTCAAGAGGTTACCAACGCCAGGCCATCAACGGATGCTGGAGCTTTTCAACAAGCTCTGGCTCACTAACTCGTATCCAGCGTCGTGGAAGGAGAGCTTAGACATTCCCATCCCAAAAGCCAAATAAACAACCCGTAAAGTTAGCAAGTTCCGGCCAATAGCCTTGACATGCTGTATGGCCAAGGTCTTGAGCGAATGGTCAACAGTAGACTAAGGCATTTCCTTGAAGCCGAAAACCTGCTATAACATCGACAACACGCCTTCGGTCAAGAGTACGGAACGTCAATTTATTTCGCAACATTAGGGGAGGTCCTCAAGAGTGCCAACGATAGCGGTCTCCACACCGAGATCGTCTCGCTGGATATATCGAAGGCCTTCAACAGGACGTGGACGCTCCTCGTCTTAGAGCAGCTTGTCAACTGGGGGCTGTGTGGACCCATGGTCCACTTCATCAAAAATCTCCTGACCGATCGTTCTTTCAGAGTCGCAGTTGGCAACACGAGGTCCCAGCTTTCCAGAGAAGAGACGGGCGTCCCACAAAGTTCAGTTATTGCCGTTTACCTTTTCCTTGTGGCCATGAACGGAGTTTTCGCAGGACTGCCGATAAATGTTTACATTCTCGTGTATGCTGACGATGTACTTATCGTAACTACCGGCCTAACAGCAGCATGTAACAGGATCAAGCAGCAGTCTCCACTGTAGCCAGGTGGGCCAGCGCGGTAGGTTTCCAGCTGTCGGCCACCAAAAGCGTCAGGTGCCACGTGTGTTCATCCCGGCACCGTGTCAGCCACCTATCAAAGTTCAAAGCCAGCCCATACCACTGAAGAAGAGGGTTCGTATTCAGGGGGTACTTGTTGACGGGTCCCTCAACGTTGAGCAGCACTTCAAGGCGATCAAGTACAACTGCCGCAGTAGGATCAACTTCTAACAATCGCGACACTCGTTTCCGGGTTGCAAGTGCCGTCAACGATAGTCGCCTACTGTACGGTCTTGAGTTGACGTGCATCGCCACCGGAAAGCTCGTGCAGATACTAGGACCAACTTTCAACACCTACGTTCGGATTGTCTCCGGTCTTCTTCCGTCAACTGCCACCGATGCCGCATGCATCGAAGCGGGTATTCTGCCCTTTCGCCATCGTATAACCGCAGCAATTGCAACCAAAGCCGCTGCCTTTACAGCAATGACCTCCGGAAATGAAAGGATCTTTCTCCTCGATGAGGGGAACAGACTCCTCCGCATGACTGCCAATTCGGAGTTCCCCCCAGTGGCCAAGATCCACTGGTATGGAGACAAAAGATGGTGCATACCTCGGATAAAGAGCAGATTCAAGGCTGGAGATAACTCTGCAGCGCTGAGGAGAACAGTAGCCGAACTTCTAGGCTCGGACTACCCAACCCATATCCACACACGGACGGATCTCTTTCCCGAGCCGGGGTCGGAAATGGAGTAGCCGGAATTTCAGCACCGATGAATAGCACCCTACCGCTACAATGTTCGGTTTTCTCCGCCGAAGCTGCAGCCATCTTTGTTGCCGTTACAACACCCTCGAACCGGCCCATACTGGTGCTATCCGATTCGTACAGCGTGATACAAGCCCCTACATCTGAGACCCCGACTCACCCCTGGATACAGGGTATCGTGGAGGCCACACCTCCCCGAACACTGTGTTTTCCTGGATCCCTGAGCACTGCGGTTTCCCAGGAAATAGCGAAGCCGACAGCCTGACAGGGTCTGGACCAGCTGGCCCCCTTTACACAGAAGGTGATTTCTCGTCTTAGGACAGGCCATACAAGGATCTCACATAGTTTTGGTGGGACGCAGTTCCACAGAATGTGCTATATTTGCGGAACCACTGCATCGGTGGAACACATCCTATGCCTGTGTCCGCAATACCAACATCTACGGCAACAATACGCACTTCCCAACAGCATTAGGGACATTCTGGACGACGAACCTTCCACTTTAGCGACAGTTATTTATTTCCTCAAGGACGCTGGGCTACACAAGAACATTTAGGTCCTTTTAATTTTCTTTTGGCTGACGGGACATCTCTGCCGGACGGGGGATTACCCCTCCTACGGTGGAGCTCCGATCTCTTTCAGAACCCTACATAACTTTGATGTACCTGCCTGTATTGTTAATCTTTTACTGGAGTCTGTTTTAATTGCTTCTATTTGAGTACATGTGAATTGTCAGCCAACTCAATAACAAAATTTTATTAGATTCTAGCCAATATAAGCCAATTTTATCTAGATGAACGCGTTATTGGGACGTTACTAATGGATATTTTTGGTTGCTATTGAAAATTTAGTCGATTGCTGAATTTCCCTATGCCTGCATTTCCCCTATATGCAAGACCAAAGAATTAAATAGGCGGAAACCAAACAACGGCTTTGAATGCAAATTTCTCGTTAATCAAAACGCACCCACGCAAACTAACAATGCCAGCGGCGCCTGTGGTGTAGTGATAGCGTGATTACCTCTCACCCCAGCAGGCCTGAGTTCAATCCCAGTCGGCACCGCCGGGATGCTCTGAGGCATAACATCTCTGATCAAAGGAAATAAAGCCGTTGGTCTCCGGTTCATGAGTTGATGGGTTGATAGGTAGGGTTCAGGTGTAGGAGCTGCCTCGGAAAACAAGATCGACGGATAACAAATTAAGGAAAAAATAACTAACAATGCCATTCGATAAAGGAAGTTTGCTCTATCAGATGCCGGTGTTAGATTGCTTGGATGCTGTTTTAATTCTCGAATAATTTACATTTAAAGCCATCGGCATTGTTTGAAAAATCCTTGCAACATTCACAGATTCTTCAAGAATTAAATTTCTCAAGCATTTCGGTTTTTGAAAGAACGAATTTTACTTTTGATGTGATCAGCATTGTCAACAAGCTGTCAATGTTATCTGTCTATTTGAACTACGCAAGACCCTTTTGTTTTGAAAACAAGTGCGCTGTTGCTGGATCTGAGTCGATTTTATAAAACGCAATTAGCACTTTGATTAAGGCAAGATGCACTGAAACGAGTATACCGATCCGGATATCGTCTAATCGAATGGAAAATGTAACACTTTGAAAACCCTTTCCTCGCAAAACGTAGATCGCCCACGCAAACCAGTAGCATAAGAAACTTTCCCCTACACGATGATGCCATTGATTTGCGTGGGCGGCCATCGGTTTGCAAGAAAAGGACTTACAAAGTTTTGTTTACGAAAGCTGATAGGCCTTTCTCTATTGTTGGTCGAGAGTTACAGTCTGAATCTGAACAAAAACAACATAGCAAACGTCGAATATTAGACGTTTATTAGACGAAAGACGCGTATCTGTCAAGGATAAGCAAATAAGGTAGTGGAATTAAATGGAAATTACAAATCCTTCTCTCTTTCTTTATACAGGTATTCCACTAAGTCGCCCTCAATCATCAGGATAACAAACGTTCTTCTAGTTGACTAAGCCAAAAAAAAACAACCGGAATTTTCTGTTATTTAGCAACGAACACAAAAGCCAACACAAAACAACCCAACTCGGGATGACCATTGACAGTAAATGCGCACACAGTTCCCCCAAACGACAGCCAACACAAAAGAAGAAAACTCCGACCCGACCGACCGAATGACTGGCGAACTGCAAAGGGCCTTGACGAGCGAGTGTTGAATTTTCGCACAGTTCATTCGTCATCATTCTCGGTGCTTTTAAGCGAACAGACAAATCACCTAATAACCACTCCAACTTACCTTTAAAGGATCACAGATAAGCACTAAAAAAGGAAAACTTAATTCTTTTACTGTACGAACAAACTCCGCTCGGCTTTCCTTCTTCTACTTCTCCGTTGTTGCAACTGAACACTGATGAAACTCCCAGGCCAAGAAGAACAGGCTATGTAGGTACTTTCTCCCTTCGGAGCCTTCTTCCTTCGTCCTCCAGCGCTGAATCCCTTTCACACACGCACGCGACACACTCGCACTCGCACGGTTCCCGGAAACTCCCACAAACTTTTTCCCCCGAGAAGGCGTTTTCGATCGTCGTCGTCGTCGTCAAAGTGATGACTCTTCTACGACACCCGACATGCAAAACTCTTTTCCCTGTTTTTTTTTTGTACGAGCAGCTAAGCTAAGCTGCAGAGCTAGAAAAAAAGCGACTCTATCTACAACTAATCTGGCGAGCGAGAAATTTTTTTTTTAGCAATTTTTATTCTTTGTAATCACAGAATGTTTCACTCTCACACCCAGCAGCAGAAGCGGCAGCTCGTCGTAATCAGTGTGTTTCACGGATCTCACGGATTTTCGTTCGAGATTACGCACATTTTCAGCCCCGAAATCCGAAAAACTTTTTCACTGAAACACCACTTCCTCTGTCCGTCCTTCCGTCCGACCGACCGAGCCTAGACTTCTTTCTTCCCGCACAAGCACATACACCGCAAAATCGATCAGCCAGCGAGCGAGCAACAGCGAATCAAGGAACACGAGTTGGTTCTGGCCCTTTGGTCTTCCTTCTCCGGGGGAAGAAAACTCCGAACTCGAAACCGATGGCGATGTTCCGCAAACCTTTGGATATTAGCAACACTCAAAACGATTCAGGTTTTCACACTCACCGCTCCTCCGTCGTCGTGGTTCCTTCGTGTGTGTCTTTAATATTTTTGACTCTTGTACTTTCGCTTAGCTACTATCGAATACGAATGATGATGGCGAGCTAAAAGCTGACAGACTGACTGCAAAACTGACACAAGGCCCGTCCGAAGACCTCCGCGCTCACAAACACAATCGTCCGTTTATGGCCTTTCTTTCAACAGTCTCTCGTCGCAACACACGCGGGATTCGCGTTGGTGTGTGTGACATGTGCTGTCAAAACTGACAACTGCTTATCCTCCTGTTTCGGGGTGACATCTAGCGGAATTTTTATATATTAATACTTTAAATACAGTGCAGTCGTATTATGGGGAAAAACAATAGAGCTAATTGGAAGATTGCCGCACAAGCTCAACGCAGATGTCGCCACTGCATGATGATGATAATGTTGACAGACTGCATATAAAATTCATGAAAATTAGCATTAAATCATAATTTTCATCAAGCCTGCGTGAAATCCTTCCAATATAACATTCAAATTGAAGAAGAAAACGTTTTTACGATCAGACTGATGTGCATCTTTGACTTTTCCAGTTGAACTTTCATAAGATATATTCATTTCATTTCACGGCTCCATCAATGCTGCATCGTAAATATGATGGCAAAAAGAAGTAAATTGCTCAATTACTCAAAATAAAGATGATTTGTCATCTTGTTATCACTTTGAAGACCATCTAGCACCATTTTATAGCATGGTGCGTGTTGAGTAAAACAAGTTCCGTGCGTTTTCCGTCGAAAATTGTGAGTATCAATATGTTTGCTTAAAAAAGGCCAAAATGAACATTTATTGAATATTGGCATCCTATACAACCAATTCTCCATTACCACCAGCATGATACAACCTTTCCTAAGTAGATTCACTTAATTTCCACTTTCATCTTAGTGAAAATCGCACATATTTACCATTTTCTGAAAAATGCAGCTGCGCAGGAGGTAACCCCTTCCTGTGGGTGCAAACTTGTTATGCATAATTTTCCATGAAAACCTCTCCGATCCATACCGAAATAATAACAAATAGTTTTCAAACACGTTTTCTTACACGATTCAAGCAAAATTTTCCATGGGAAATTATTAGTTTTTCTTTATGGACCGATTTGCCCAAAAAACCGTCTGTTTTACTTGGAAAATTTGGAAACTATCCTCCTTCTAGTAATTCTCACATCGAAATGTAGGTGGCGAAAACTTGGAAAAGTTTCACTGCAAGACGCCAATAAACTATAGAGGAAGAATAGCGCTGCCGTCGCTGTCGAAACATCTTTTCCTTACACTGATAAAATTTTAAAGATTGTTTTTATGTGTCCCACACATGAAATTAAATACTTAATAAGTGTACACATAAAAGCCATGTGTAACCACCAGGGCTCTACATTTTCGAAGCTCTAAAATGAACTCGTGTGTTTTTTCTCTCATACATACGTGTTCGACGCTTCATTTCTTTAACGCCTAGTTAGACTATCAGAAATGATAGTGAAAAAGAAGCACGCTTAGAAGGAAACGCTGGCTGTGGAACTTCTCGCCGTTGCTTTGCTCATCGCTTTCAATGTAACTAACGTCGATTTTCTGGTTAAACGAACCTCATTATGGCTTTCAATCCCCTTTCACGAACACTTTATCACCGATCTTTCAATTTGTTTAAAATGCGTTATGTCCCATTTTTGATCATTTTTTTTAGATAAATATATGGATGGAAGATAAATTTAAAATATTACGTGTAATCTTCACGTGTTGTCACGTGAGAAATGCTTTAAATGTGTTATTTAATTTTCCGTCATATACGTCATGAAACCTCTGTTGATGTGTTTCATGAAAGAGAAAACTATCAAAGTCGAGCGCTCTTTTACTCATCCGTTTCACCGAAGCTTGAAAGGAAGACCAATGGAGCGACGGGAGAAAGAGAGACAAGCGATTGAACATTTTTATTTGTGCACGACGACTGAGGTTCTAGAATGCTGCGAAGCTGTTCGACTTTAACAGAAAAAGAAAGCCAGCAGTCTCTTCGTCGCATCGATTTGGTCGATTGAAGCTGATATTGTGACGCCCTGGTAACCACACATACTATTCATTTGACTCATAAATTTCATGTGTGCTTGTGGGTGGATTCTGTTTATGTGTGGTCACATGAAAATCATGTGGAATTTCACATGGAAATTCGTCAATAAAAATGTGTGGAATTTTATTAGTGTACAAGCGAGAAAAAAACTGTGCAGTTTGACAGTTCTGTACTCGGTATTATTCAACATTGAAACAAAGGGAACACCAGCGCTATTCTTCCTCTTCAGTATATTAACTCTATTGGAAAAACACAGACAAAGTCGAGGACAAAGTAAAACCAATTGATGAATCTACGTGAAACTGCACCAGTGCATGCGACTCCTAGGTTTGAAATCCAAAACCACAAAAGTGATGATGTACTAAAAAATATTCCATACGATTTGACAGCTAGCAAAACGTCATTATCATTTTCACATCATTTCCATCTGCTGGCCGACCGTAACGTAGATTTGTGGTGTCAGCACTGTAGCCTACAGTTTTTATGCTATGTTTATATGTGCATTAACCACACGTACGCGTTAAAAAATCTTATATTAATAATCATTAATGAAACATGAATTTTTCATGATTAGCTTGCCTAATTTAAAAATTAATAAAATAAATATTTAATTACTACACACAGAAAAAACTATCGTCGAAACAAAAATATTTGAGGTAAATTTAAACGTAAACTCAGTTTGTTCTGGCCACAAAAATAAATTACACGGATAGAAATCTCCTTATACCTTTTGGCAAATTTCCATTGCTGATTATTCATAAAATGTATAAGTCAACTAATAAGCAGATGCCTTGCAAAAAGTTAATAAAGATCATGTGTCAAATGAAATGTATAAGCGGTCACACATACTTTTTATGCATTCTAATAGGACCTATGTGATTTGTCTTATGGAATGTATAAGGCTGATGCTTTGGCAAAAATGTATAAGTGAAACACATGAATTAAATAATTGATTTTCGTATCGTGTAGATGGATTTCAAACGTATTCCATGTTTGAAGCCATGTGAAATCAATGTTTAAATAAAAATAATATTACGTTTATTTTAAAAATATTCGTGTTAAAAATAAACGTATTTGTTTTTGTTTGGTTTGAAAGCTAGGCGAACAAAAATAAATATGTTTATTTTAAACATGCTTCTCATGTTCAAAATAAACATACATAATTTTAAATTATTTAAGTAGTTGAGTGCAGGGCAAAGAAAAATAAAACTTATTGCAATGAAATGAAAAACAACAAGATCTTCGGGCAGGGCATCTACATTCCTGCTCTTTTTCGGGTGCGATTAATAGTGATCTGATGGTATTGGGGTTCTGGTCCGAGATGCCGGCGGCGAGAAATCACTGGGATGTTGGATGTGAAAAGGTTGCACACGCACACGCAGGGATCGTTTTTGGTAGAGCGATTATAATACACAACACACACACACACACACACACACACACACACACACACACACACACACACACACACACACACACACACACACACACACACACACACACGCGCGCGCGCACTCATCCAATTTCTATTTTTAGATCAGGACCCACACCAACCGGTGAACACTCGTGTTTATTTCAGTTACCGTGGGGATGTATTTTGTGATTAGCCCCGGTCCCTTTCAAATTGTATCATTATTTATGTACGGTGCTTATATTTGAAAAGACGTTTCACATTCATCTAGTGATGGTCGATTTTCATTCGAATAATTGATTAATCGATTAACGAACCGAAAAGTAAAATATTTGCAATCGGTTATATCATGCTGATATAAGCATTAACATCTCCAGAGAATCATCACCGATCGTTTCAAACATGTGCTGCACTCTCATTGGTGGAAAAATGGCAGCACAGCGAACAAAAAATAATCGATTAGTTGTTAATCGAAGAATTAAAAAATGGGACATCTCTGATTTTGGTGTGTTTGTTTTGATAAAAATGAGCGCAAAATTTCATCTCTACCGAGGGGGCAGCAAAACCACAAAATTACCTTGAAAACGGGGGGTATTCATTGGATGAAAGGGACCGTGAAAGAGGACACTAAAATAGAAAGTTTTTCCTCCGACGGTTTCATCTTAGTATTCATCTTTGCCCACACTGTGGTAAGTGATGCGATCGGTGTTAAAGAAGAATTTGTTTTCATTAAAATCTAGTGGGTATAGAATAAGGCAAAGTGAAAAATTGCAAGGAAGGGGACGGGCCTGGGATTGAACTCCCGACCTTCTGCTCAGTAAGCAGGAACGGTAACCACTGAGCTACCGAGCCTCGTCGTTTACCCAAATCCTATATTGTTGAAATAAACATGCTTGTGAATTTAATTCAAACATAAATATTTCAGTTTTAAACATGCTTTCAATTTACTTTGAATAATTGATATGTTTAGGGTATAAACATTTATATTTTTGTTTTAAATGAACAAAATTCGTATCCATGTACATGTACGCGCTTGTTGAACATTTATCACAATTATTTTGCCACGCAACAAATCAAACACCTATGCGGACGGAGCATAATTCTCACTGTTTGCATCAGCTGTCTTAGATTGGCAGACAATCGAGCCAAAAAACCAACAACTTTGGCTTCAAGCAAAATTTCGGAGGGAGTAAAACCAACAATCAATACGAAACTAACGATTTTAAATTGGCTCACTACTTGACTACACACAAAGAATTATCATTAATTAAAAAAAAAACCATTGGTACAATTAAAAGTTTGCATTGGTTCTTTTTGGAAGAAAGTAATTAGCATTCAAAACAAAAGAGAGCTAACTGTCAATTCAAAAGTTATCCGCTCCCTACTATTAAAAGCTGAAACTTTCAAAATGAGTTGTACAGCTGTCAAACGAAAAGTGTGACAATCTGAAATTAAAGCGGTCTATTTTTATTAAAAAAAAAACATTTTTGGCAAGAAAGTTTGGTTGGCACGACACATTCCCCTTTCTCACATGAGCGAGCTCAGTGCTCGGTTAACCGCTCCCAATTTCAGCAATGATGGAAGGGAGGAGAAAAGCAGTGGTAATAAAAACGTTTGGCATTTCGTTTTCTTCGTCATTGAGCAACGAACGGATAAGCGTCGGATACGACGTCCGAGTGGAACAGCACGCATCGCACACACTAAGATAATTTTACCGAAATATGTGAAATTTTACCGAAATCTCAACAGCTGAAGTTCGGTAAACAGTTCGGTGATTTTTCACAGTTTTCCTTTAATTTTTCAACGAATATATGTGAAAAATCACAGAAAATCTGGGCAAAATCACCGAACTGTTTACCGAACGTTCAGCTGTTGAGATTTGGGAAAAATTTCACAGATTTCGGTAAAATTATCTTAGTGTGTACCAATACGAAGACAACGACGACGACGAAAACACCCACATTGACCGGAGGAAAGACTTCCCGCAATAGGCAGCAGGGTGGTCAGACCTACACGGATAGAAATCTCCTTATACCTTTTGGCAAATTTCTATTGCTGATTATTCATAAAATGTATAAGTCAACTAATAAGCAGACGCCTTGCAAAAAGTTAATGAAGCTCATGTTTCAAATGAAATGTATAAGTGGTCACACATACCTTTTATGCATTCTTGTAGGACCTATGTGGTTTGTCTTATGGAATATATAAGGCTGATGCTTTGGCAAAAATGTATAAGTGAAACACATGAATAAAATAATTGATTTTCGTTTCGTGTACCGATTTATCAGTAGTCCTCGAGGTAGTCCTACCGATTTTTGTGATGCCTACCGATTCACAGACGAAAGGTTAAAAACTTCTGATTTTTCACTTTTCCTACCGAGAATCACAGATTTTTAGCAATCTTGAAAAATATTCAGTAACTATGTGTTGTTTTCCTTGTAGGCAGAATTAGAAATATTGATTTCGACACGTTTAAAGCAGAAGAACTGAAGGACAGTCCCCCCGCCCCGCTCACAAAGATTTCAAGTATCGGGAAAGCCTTCTTCAGACGGCATACCGATAACTATCGATAAGAGTTTTGAGAAGCTGCCGATAATGAAAAAAAATAATTTGGCCCATCAGGGTGGCAGCATGATTAGGCCGCCGTCATTCGGTCGGCATTAACTATTGCACTGATGTGGTCACAATTTGAAAAACAACCGGCCCTTTTCAGGGCCACCAATTCAAAAACGGAAAGAGTTAAGAACTAAATGATCAACATATTTGTTCAGTCCACTAGTGGTCCTACGTCAAGCTTCCGTTCGTCCTTTAGGCACAGACCCTTCTACTTTTTTGTTTGCTGTTAGAACTGTCATTTGAAAATAAAAATAAATCACAAAACTAAAACAAACCCTACGCATGCACGGTAAGAATCCAATACCCATTTATGAGTAAAATTTAACTCATTTTTAATAGGAGTGGGTGTACTAATTAAGGAGTAAATTCTCAAGTAAATTATGTTAACAATTAATAACAGTTCCTACTGAATTGGTATAATGTATTTTTCATTAATGAGTAGTGCCACTTTAGTTAACTTTTATTCATAAATGGATTTTTGATGCTAACCGTGTACATGACAGTCCTAATTAACAAATAATACCATAAACGAACTGTATGCTGGGTGCGTATACTATCCCACAAATGGTTTGGATGATACCCCAAACACGTCGTTAAGTTCTCTTTTCTGGTTATTTTTATTAGGGAGTGTACGCTAGTGTGTGTACAATTATATTATAGTGTAGTGTTCGTGAGATACGGCTTGGAGAAAACAACTATTTTGAATGGTAATGGTTCTTCTCATTATTTGCTAGGTTCACTCCCAAAGAACCATTATACATATGATTAAAACGTTATTAAACAAACGTTCATGTTAAGTTCCATAACCATTTCAGTTAAAGTTTAGCATGGATTATAAACAATTTTTACCCATTTTCGGTAAGGTCAAGTAATGGTTCGCGTATATGCGGAAAGCGTGGAAAACTGGATAAATTTTTGAGAAAAAGCGAAATTAAGTTTCAATTCTGTGGTCTATATACCGGCATAGATAATGTCGGATTACCGGTAGGTTACTGTACAATATATACACTACGCCATCTATGAGAAACTATTGGAGAAATCCGAGACATAAACCAAGATAATTTTACATTTCAAACACCGACAAAAGTTCACTGGGCATGCAAATTCGTTGACAGCTTGCCGATGGCAATCCGTCATCCATCATCATCATCATCGGTTTTTGATCTATGCATGCAAAAAGATTCGAAGCGGAGGAGTAATATTTTCATCCTGTTATCACGAAAACATTATCATTTCTAGTGACTAGTGGCGATACCGAACAGTTAAAGCCAATAAACATCGCTTCAATTAATGTTCATTAGTAGCAAGTGTGTGGAATATCGTTCATAGTAGATATAAGTTGATTTGTTGTTCTGGAAAATTGCAGATTGAAGCTGAGTCACATCCCGTTCGAAGATTTCATCCATAACTAGCCTCCTATCACTGTCCATCCTTAGGAGGAATACCTCGACCCCACTGTCATAAATCATGTTGGTGCTAGTGCTAGGCGATCTTCACATTCCGCAGCGGTGTAGCAGTCTGCCGGCCAAATTTAAGAAACTGCTAGTTCCTGGGCGGATCCATCACATCTTGTGTACGGGAAATCTGTGCAGCAAGGAATCGTTCGACTATCTGAAAACTCTGGCCAATGATGTCCACATCGTTCGGGGCGATTTCGACGAGAATATGAACTATCCGGAGCAAAAGGTCGTTACGGTCGGCCAGTTCCGAGTGGGCTTGACTCACGGTCATCAGGTCGTACCGTGGGGTGATCCAGAAGCGCTGGCACTGATCCAGCGACAGTTAGACGTGGACATACTGATCTCGGGTCATACCCACAAGTTCGAGGCGTACGAGCATGAGAACAAGTTCTATATCAATCCCGGCTCGGCAACGGGATCTTACTCGGCATTGGATTCGTCCGTCATTCCGTCGTTTGTGCTGATGGACATCCAGAGTACGACCGTCGTGACGTACGTCTACCAGCTCGTCGGGGATGATGTTAAGGTGGAGCGAATTGAGTATAAGAAAAATTGAAGCCTATAATGATTGTGTATATAATATTAATGAACTATGTTACTGTGTTTGACTAATATGCGAGGAATAAAAATGCATTATATCTCATTCAACAAGCTGTTGGACAAATTTGGTTTCTTTTTTTCCTATTGGGGTCATACTTGGCATGCACAGTTTAGCACACTAACTGCTCATTTGTTAATAACTTTTCGCTCAGTTGTTGAAATTTGTTTTTCTTTAAAGTAATTGATAGATTAGGATCATAGTTTACTATATACCTATATGCAAAGAGTAGGTAAATTTTATCATTTGAATCAACACGAATGATTTTTTATACTTAAAGTCCAAGATGTGCAGCGAGCATTTCTCATTTAATGTTTACAACGCAAAAACAAATACAGTTTATTACTCGAATTAAAATCTACTTTTTATACGTATCTATAAAAAGCTTAAGCTCTATTCTATCTACTGCTTCAAAAATAACTATGTTTCGTCAACTGTGTGCAAAGTTATTAGCAAATGAGTAGTTCGTAACAAAAACTGTGTATGCCAAGCATGATTGGGATTAAGGTGAATCGCTGTGACATCCTTATTCTCGGAACCACTTCGAAACTTTAAGTGCACAAATATCAGCTTCTACGGCACGTGCAACATTCCAATTGTTACTACACGTTTGCTGCACTGCAGCATACATGAAGTAGCAATTTCAGGTGAAATGGGGCATCGATTTCCGAGATTTGTGTAATTGTAAATTCAAAGTGGAAGTGCATGAATAGCCTACATGGCGGCCATTTGTGGACTCTACAAGGAATCACATTAAGGGTACCGCAATGTGCCATAATGTGTAAAGTAAGGGACTGTTCCGGCGCAGTGGTTTTGCGTCCATACCTCTCACACCAAAGTCACTAGTTCAAATCTGATCCTTGGACAAGTCACGAATGACTCAAGAGTTAAAGTGACTGTAAGGAATAACACTATGTGTAATACAGATAAATATTTTGAATTGAGCTAAAAATCACCCCTATTCTGTATTTCGTTTCGAACGAAATTCTCATTCTCATTCTCATTCTCAATTTTGTATGAGAATTTCGTTTGAAACGAAATACAGAATAGGGGTGAATGTGTTAAGGTATTTCTCACTAGCGCATGGGAAAAACATAAATTCAGATTAGCGGTATCACAATATACTACAAAACGTTAGCAAAATGAGCGAAGTTAAGCGCTGTACTAAATTATATGGCACTTCACGGTACTGCTCCTTACGCTCGTTTGTTGCATAATGAAACATGTATCTATAGAAAATTAGTACTTTATTCAGAGTTAGTGAAGAAATCAACAGTAACATATCACGTGTAGGATCAACTGAAGCATGAAAAAAAAACTAACAAAGGACGATTATGCGTAAAACATACAGCATCAAAATCTTAGAAATTAAAAGTTACATATCAACGTACAATTTATTGCCATATTCAGACTAGAGAGTTGTAACGTAATATAAGCGGTTTTCGAGATACAACAACATTTCATCACGAAAACCGCTTATAACGAATGGTCTCCGGATCTACTACCAAAACGTGCGTGGGCTGAGGACTAAAATCGACTCGTTTTTCCTGGCTGTTGCGGAGGCCGAATATGATTTGATTGTGCTGACGGAAACGTGGCTGGACGACCGAATTTACTCATCGCAACTTTTCGGGTCACTCTATTCCGTCTTCAGAACTGACCGGTCTGCCCTAAACAGTCAAAAATCGCGCGGTGGCGGAGTCCTGATTGCAGTATCTACTAGACTAGCCAGCTACGTAAGTACGTCACCCATTTCCAGTCAACTGGAACAGCTGTGGATTGTCGTAGAACTTCCACAAAGCAAGCTTAGTGTAGGCGCAATCTACCTGCCTCCCGACCGCAAAAACGACTGCACGATCATCCGTGAGCATGTGGAATCGTTAGGGTCAATTTCGTCACAATTAAGTCCCTGCTCTCCCGCTTTCGTATTTGGTGACTACAATCAAGCTGGTCTGCAGTGGCGCTTTACAGACAGTGGCACACCATTAATTGATCCACTGATTTCGCATATGCCGGTTGCTTGCTGTGCTCTTTTGGACGGTTTTTAACTTTTACGGGTTCACACAAGTGAATACTTTTCCGAACCGAAATGGACGTTTGCTAGATCTTGTCCTGGCAAATGATTCCGCACTACCGGGCACTTCTGTTTCCTTGCCGGTCGAGCCACTGATTGATCTAGATGCCGATCATCCCGCTCTCGTCGTGTCATTTAGTTTACCTGCGCCGATTCTTTTTACGCCGTCATCTGAGTGCTACTCTTTGGACTTTCGCCGGGCCGATTATGTTGCATTGAACAATGCGCTTGCGGAAATTGATTGGCAATTTATCGAAACTGCCGCTAGCGTGAATGATGCAGTGGATTTTTTCAGTGCTGCACTGGAAGATGCTATTTTCCGCATTGTCCCAGCTCGACGACCTCCGCTAAAGCCTGCATGGTCTAACCCATGCCTACGCGTGCTAAAACGTCAACGCTCTGCCGCCCTCCGAAAGTATTGTAACTCTCGCTCGCCGTACTACAAACGACTGTTCAATTTTGCGAGTCGTAGTTATCGAAATTACAATCGTTTTCTCTATAATCGACACGTGAGACGCACGGAAGCGAACCTTCGCACGAATCCGAAAAGTTTTTGGTCGTTTGTCAACTCTAAACGGAAGGAATCCGGGTTGCCTTGTTCCATGTTTCTCGGGAATGACTCGGCTAATAGTGAAAGAGAAAAATGCGACTTGTTTGCTCGTCATTTCAAGCAAGTGTTCAACGATTTCTCCGCTTCGCCAACACAAGTGCTGGATGCTGCTGTTGGGATGCCACGTGATGTGTTTAGTTTCGTTATTCCGCGCATTTCAGAAGATATGGTGATAGTCGCAACACGCAAACTGAAGCTCTCGTTCGCCTCCGGACCTGACGGCATTCCGTCATCAGTTCTAAAACGTTGTGTAGCCAATCTCTGCCTTCCACTTGCGAGGCTATTCAATCTCTCGGCACAGCAATGTGAGTTCCCCTGCCGCTGGAAACTTTCTTATCTGTTCCCAGTGCACAAAAAAGGAGATAAACGGAATGTCATAAATTATCGTGGAATCACCTCCCTGTGTGCCTGCTCAAAACTGTTCGAGATTATCATAAATGGTGCTCTGTTCGCACGCTGCAAAAATTATATCGATACAGAACAACACGGTTTCTACCCGAAGCGCTCCGTGTCCACGAACCTGGTGCAGTTTACTTCTAACTGTCTGCGATGCATGGATTCAGGATGGCAAGTCGATACTGCGTATATGGATCTAAAAGCTGCATTTGACACGGTGGACCATAATATCTTGCTAGCCAAGCTGGAGATACTTGGCATCTCGTCAACTGCTGTGGATTGGTTCAGATCTTACTTGGTGAATCGCTATGTACATGTCAAGATTGGCGCGTCGGAATCGGATGTTTTCTCAAACAACTCGGGAGTCCCGCAAGGCAGTAACCTAGGACCGCTACTATTTTCGATCTTTTTAAACGATGTCGCCTTGCTGATACCATCAGGATGCCGCGTTTTCTATGTAGACGATACGAAAATCTACAAAATTATTAAAAGCCTTTTGGACTGCTGGGATCTCCAGAATATGTTAGGTATTTTTGCTGACTGGTGCTCAAGAAATTTGATGAGTCTAAGCATAGAAAAATGTAACATTATTTCCTATCACCGAAAAATCGAACCAATCACGTTTGACTATGTTCTCTACGGACGCTGTCTTGCTCGTGTAGAGCACATAAAGGATCTCGGCGTTACCTTGGACTGCAGACTCATTTTCAGAATCCACTACAATGACATCATCTCCAGAGCTAATCGACAATTGGGCTTTATTTTCAAAATTGCCGACGAGTTTCGTGACCCGCTATGTCACAGGTCACTTTACTGCTCGCTTGTGCGATCCTTATTGGAGTCAAGTTCAGTTGTTTGGTGCCCTTTCCATGCTAGCTGGATCACTAGAATTGAATCCGTTCAACGCAAGCTTGTGAGATATGCTCTTCGTTTCCTCAACTGGCGTGACCCAACGAACTTGCCACCGTACGAGGAGCGTTGCCGTCTCCTGGGAATCGAGCCATTAGAGGTGAGACGGACGGTCGCTCAAGCTATGTTCGCTGGAAAGCTGCTTACAGGTGACATTGACTGCCCAACACTGCTGTCACAGCTAAATATGTATGCCCCTGAGAGGTCTCTTCGTTAACGCAACTTTCTGTTTTTGGAACCACGGAGCCGGAATTATACACAACACGAGCCAATTCGAGCAATCAGCCGGCAATTCAACAACTTTTTTTATATGTTCGACTTCAATGTATCAGCTGACGTGTTTCGTCATCGGCTACTTGGCCTTTTCCGTACCGTTGACCGTAACTATTTAGTTTAAGTTTTATTCATTTAGACAGTAATTGTCAGTTGAATTTTTCAATAAACAATAAACAATAACATGTTATGATGATTGTAGTAGATTTGGGCGATGAAAATAAAATAATGAAATAATTATTTAAAATAATTTCATTTTCATTTCATTTTATGATGTACAAGGGGGTCAGGGGCCATGTCACCGATGTGAATATTCACACCATCCATAATACACCAGGGAAGGGGAGAGGAGTGAGCAACACAGCATCTTTACCCATGGGGGTTAAAAAAGTTCTGCGAGGTATACTTATGGTAAACCAGCTGCTCAGGGATTGTGAAAAGGAAAGGATTGGGTAGGTTTTGTATGAAAAGCGAATAAGTTATTATCGTATCGTTGAAAAATGAACTCGATTACATCACACCGTCAATAAAAATAAATTAAAAGATATTGAAAGAGATTATTAGTGAGTTTTAAACTGTTACCTAATAGAAATACATTTGTAAAATTATCTCCATGTACTGAACAGCCATCTCTCTCGCCCTCCCGCCGCCTAAACGTCTGAAGGAGTGTGACGTCAAACTCCGTCATCCATTCAATCAGCCGGAGTACGAAAGAGCGTGCAATGAGCGTCAACGACCCTAATAAAAAGTGGGGGAACACCATACCTGAACGATACCACAAATCGTGCCACCGTATCACATATTGTTGGGATGATAACCCGAATAGGTTGTTAGGCACTCCTTATGGTTATCGTTCATGCGGGTGTTTCTAAGCAATTTACATCTTATCAACCCTCTGTGCGACCCAACCCGTGCAATGTATTTAATGTTGTGTGCTTTATCATGAGTGGTCACGGATCTGGCAATCTTCACATGACTATGCGTCCCGGTGGCGACGACTACGATCTAGCCGGTTTACAATAGGTTTTATACAAGAGTAATAGAATAGATCGGAGTATACTTACAGTTTCAACGTTCCTATGAACTCCTTGTTTACCTTCAATCCTACTTCCTTCTCTTGTTGTATTGTGTTTCTGGATATGCCACTTCCATCATCTCTCTGACACAAGATAATGGATCCTCGCTCCGGAATATCTTCAAAACTGGGGGGATTAAAATCGCTCCTCGTGCACAACCCTTCCAGATGACCGAAAGAGCGCCCGGTCCGATTGGTCTCACCCGATATTCTTGAAATACTTGACATTTTGAATAAAACGTTGCCATTTTCAGACTTCGTGTTGTTAGTTTTCTTGAAGGTCTTGTGCTTAATGCTTGATTTGTCTTTCGCTTCGTATTTCTAAGAATTGACTCTATAAATAGATTAAAAAAAAAAAAACAAAAACAAACACAACGCTTCCCGCCCACAAGCTGTAGACCGAGTGCAGAATCTTTGTGATGATGCTTTCCAAACGTGCATATCCATAGAAATAAATCCAATTCAATAAAGGATTGATTTCCACTGCGACTAAATCCAGCATTCCTACTAAAATATCAAATGCTGTGCTTAATCATTTATTATTAAAACAGAGCAATAAACAATGTACGGTGATGATTAATCTGTTAATATGCTTTTATAAGCGGGTTCAAATGCACTTTTGGTAAGCATCAACACTGATCTGGCAACACTAGTGTGCATCTTTCCAATGTGGTAAAGATCCAGATCAGCCCTGGGACCTGGTAGCCTAGTTAAACTACCTCAAGGTTTTGCCAAAGCCCAGGGATGAAATAATTATTTAAAATAATGTAATAATATTTCTCAGTGTATGCTATTACCAACCCGCTCTATAAAGAACGCACTGCTTTCATGCTGTCAGTCAGTATAGAATCGCTATCCCTTACCGGAAGAAAGCTACCGATCGTATAATTGAAGGGGAATGGTCGGGAAAAGAGCTCGGGTATGGTTATTGCTTAATACGAGCAACGAGTATTCGGGATTTGTCAGCGCTTGTTGGTTGAGAGGGAAATGCGGAAACCCGATCATGACAATCAGCGGTAGTGGACTTGGTTCACGAGAGAGCTTCTCAAGCAAGGTAGCGAAAGCGAGAGCGTATGACACTCTACGATTCGGGTCGTGAAAGGAACGGGTCGTGAAAGAAAGGTGAGAAAGAGAGGACCTATCGATCAGATAAATGTTGGTTCTCTCGTGTGATCCGATAATCCGACGAACATTGGAGTTCGTCATTCTGTTGGCGATAGTTACCGCGATTAGTCGTACGTTCACTGCAAACAGCAATTTTAAAAATGGCCGGAAAGCGTCACGACAATGGCGCAGTGGACGCTCCCGAAAGGTGAGTATATTAAAATATTACCGAATGGAACGTGTTAAATTTTATTTATACAAAGTTCGGGTTGAAAATATAAAATGGCAGATAATATTAAACTCGAGGTGCAGTGAATGATTTTGTAAGTGTAATGAAATTCAAATTTGTGTGATAAATATCAGTAAACAATTCAGTTTCCTTTCCCTTTAATTTTGATTTTTAAATTAGTGTTAATCGCGGTCTTCACTGAGGTCTTACTAAAAAAAAAATGGGGCGGGGTAGTAAAAAAAAAAGGAAGAGAAAAAGATTTGGGCGAGAGGACCCATGTCACAAAAAATAATAAAAAAAAAAAAAAAAAAAGATGGGCGAGAGGACCCATGCTCAAAAGGAAGCGAGAGGACTTCTTATGCAAAAAAAAGAAGCGATTAGGACTCACGAAATAAAAGGAGCGAGAGGACTCTCAAAATAATAATTGTTTATTGAGCGAGAGGACTCAATGTGTAACAGGAGTAAAAGTAAAAAAAAAAAAAAAAAAAAAAAATAGCGTCAGCATTCATTTAGTTAAAGGAACTATGTTAAGGTCTAGTAGAAATTAAGCCTACAGACTGATTAGTTCTCGTAGGAAATGACATTTTCCGTGAAAGCTTTTCAAATACCTATAGAGAAACGATTTTTAACGTTTGTATTTCTTCGATTTACAGAAAAATCAAGAAGAAGAACTCGAAGCTGGATGAAATCGTAAAAGAGTTGGCTGAAGTGAAATCGTCAAATGCCAAGCTAACCGAACAACTTGGAAAAGCACACGAAACCATCATGTCGCTTCAGGCCAGCTTGAGAACACCGCGACGTGAGAGTTGGGATGTGGAAAGCGTCGAATTCAATGGTAATGTTGGTCTCAGTTTGCAAACACCGCGTAGCGAGAGTGGAGATGTGGAAAGCGTCGAATTTAACGGGAATGTTGGTCCCTCGAGCACCCATCGACAGGCGAGTCGACCGGGGAATGAATCAGGAAACGAATTATCACGGTTCATGTCTTCAATGAATCAGATGTCAATTTCTTCAATCAGCGTACCGGAGTGTAAAGCATCGGTGGAGGGGGAGCAGATAGGAAGACGTGATTTCGAAGCCTGGAAAGACCTGCTTACTGATTCCCTCAAGTTGGCTGGAGTAAACGACGAGGCTACTCAGTTCGTTCTGTTCAAGGTGAAGGCAGGATCAATGCTTTTAGAAATCTACAAGAACACCAAGTCGTCCGTGGAGGCTCCGAATGCTGAATTGTATCCATTTTCGAATGCCTTGTTCCGGCTGAAGGCGTATTTTGGTTCAGCGTCGGATATCATGCTTCAGCGTCGGAAGCTTGCGGTGATGGGCCAGCGACCGGAAGAAACGGATTTGTCATTCATCATGAGTTGGGGCTACTGCTCGTCTATGTGATTTCACTGAGGGAAAGGAATTTGAGGAGATTGTAAGCACCGTCGCCGAACATGCGAAAAACAAAGAAGTACGTACCGTGGCACTGAAAATGCTAAGCCGCCAGGGCACGTTTACGGACCTCGTAGACAAAGTCCGTGAAATCGTGGCAGTGAACATGAACGAAGAATTCTATCATTCGAAACACGATAAACCCTATCAAGCGACGGTGGCTGCTGTTAGTGCCGAATATGGCAGAGCCGGTCCATCTCGACGGGGATCCTTCCGAAGCTCGGTACCTCGTGGTAAATTTGGCTATCCATATGCAGCTCGTGGTACATTGCGATCTCGGCTACCCTACGAAAGGAAAGAATTGGCGAATCAACAAGAAGCTGGGCCATATCGGTGCTTCAGATGCAACAGTGTTTACCACACGCCTGATTCCTGCTTCGCAATTGATAAGGTTTGCTTGAGCTGCGGCCACAAAGGGCATATACAGAGAGCTTGTCGCACTGCTATGCAGATGGAAAATCGACGTTTGACGGATAGCGAGAAACCGAATGTCGTACCTGGCAAGGTTGCTGCGATCGATGTGGATATCGGAACGAAGAAAGAAGTACAATCTGCAGATAACAATGTAGGTGACGTAAACTCTGTATAATTTATCATTGATTATCATTCTTTTATGCATTGAAAATTGTTTTCCGCCCTTTGAAATGTCGAATTATTTTTTTTCTTTATAATAACATTTGAAATAAATAAGTTGTTATCTTATTTCAAAAATGAATATAGACCGTAACATGCGCAACCAGAATTAATTATGATTCAGTGTTTCATTGTATAGAATGTTAATGATGTTCAATTTAAAATTATTTATGTAGTAATCGAATTAACCTTCCAACAGCTGAATATTGCAACAATGTCGGTTCCTTTGAAACCTGAAAACGATGGTTCAATAGTAGCAAAAGTTGCAGGACTACCTTGTGAGTTCCTTATTGACTCCGGAGCGCAGGTCAATACACTAACCGAGCAGCGATTCAGCTTACTATGTAGCAATGAAACGTATCGTAAGGGTGTGTTCAATATGCAGCACTGCACCGATCGGCCACTAAAAGCATATGCCTTAGCAGGTGAGATACCAGTCCTTGCTACGTTTGAAGCTTTCCTGCATATCACAGATGATCGCCCCATTCTACTGGAAAAATTCTACGTCGTTAAGGAATTCCGCTCCCTTCTAGGTCGAGTGACTGCCACACGATACAGAGTTTTATTACTAGGACTGAAAGTGGCCTTGAATCACGAGGAGCTACCACCACGATCCTGGTATGACTCTAATGAAATCGCAACGGTTTCGATGGATGAAATCTTTCCAAGATTTAATATCCCACCCGTGGAGATATGCTACGACAAAACAAGACCACCATGTCGAAACATCTTTATGAATATCCCGATTGCTGTCAAGCCCATCGTTGAACAACGACTTAATCAACTCCTTTCAGCAAACATAATTGAACGGGTAACGGATGGCATGGATGTTTCATTCTGCTCATCAATGTTAGCAATCCCTAAAGGAAAGGATGATATAAGGCTGGTGATCGATCTAAGAGGGCCCAACAGGTACGTTCAAAGGTCACCATTTACCATGCCTTCTTTGGAGCAAATCCTGGCTGATTTGGATGGAGCCCAATGGTTTTCGTCTATAGATTTGTCTAATGCGTTTTTCCATATTGAGCTGTATGAGAACAGTCGTCACCTGACGAACTTCTGCACAGAGTTTGGTATGTTCCGGTACGTTAGGTTGCCCTTCGGGTTGTGCAACGTACCGGACATATTCCAGGAAGTCCTTCAGAGGACAATTCTTGGAGGTTGTAAGGGAACAAAGAACTATTTGGACGACATTTTGATCTTCGGAAGAACCCTGGAAGAACATGATCAAAATCTGAGGGCTGTGTTAGATCGTCTTCATCAGCACAATGTTCGGATCAATACTGACAAGTGCACTTTCCGTACCCAATCCGTCAAGTTCCTGGGGTTTACGCTCACCTCAAATGGCTGGCAAATAGAAGACGATAAATTGAGTGCCATACGAGACTTTCGCCGGCCGGAAACGATTTCAGAAGTGAAGAGTTTCTTAGGGTTAGTGACGTTTGTAGACAAGTTTGTTCCACATCGGGCTACTAGGACCGAGAAGCTACGAGCACTTGCCAACGCAGAAAATTTCTACTGGACAAATGATGAGGATGCCGAGTTCTTGTCATTTAAGGATGAAGCGTTAAATCTGGTCCGAACGCTTGGGTACTTCAATATTGCGGACAGAACGGAATTGTTCGTCGATGCGTCTGCAATCGGACTTGGAGCTGTCTTGGTCCAATTCAACAATAAAGATGTTCCTAGAATCATTGCATGTGCCTCAAAAGCGCTAACGACCACTGAACAACGATATCCACAAACTCACAGGGAGGCCTTGGCTGTTGTTTGGGGAGTCGAAAGGTTTGCCTTCTACTTAACTAGCCGAACATTTACTGTCAGGACGGACGCCGAAGCAAACCAGTTCATATTCGGATGCAATCATCAAATCGGTAAGCGGGCAGTTTCGCGAGCAGAGGCTTGGGCTCTGCGTCTCCAGCCATTTGACTTTACAATGGAGCGAGTTCCAGGGGACGAAAACATTGCCGATGTTTTATCGCGACTAATACAGTCTTCTCAAGAAGCACAGCCGTTTGACGACAGCAGCGACGAGGGTCATATTCTGTTTGCGCTGGATACAGGAAACATGGAGATTTCTCTTGGAGAGATCGAAGCTGAAGTGGATGATGTACTGGTAGAATTACGCAAGGCCTTAGCGTACGATAGATGGCCTCGTGAGCTACGTAAGTACGAAGCGCAAAAGAAGAATCTTCATCATCTTGGGTTTTTAATTTGCAAGGATGATAAGATTGTTCTACCCAATTCTTTACGCATAAAGGCTTTGTCTTCGGCACATGGTGGACATGTCGGTGAGGTTGCGATGAAAAGAATTATGCGAGAGTTCTTCTGGTGGCCAGGGATGGCATCGGATACTGAGAGGTTTGTTAAGGACTGTCAAACTTGCTGTATGTTATCACGGAAAAACCCACCACTACCACTTTCATCCCGTGATCTACCCGAAGGTCCTTGGGAGGTAATTCAAATTGATTTCCTTTCCATTCCGGGATTTGGGTCAGGTGAATTTTTGACTATTGTCGACACGTACTCCCGTTACCTTTCGGTTATTGAAATGAAACGCACGAACGCTATTATTATATATTTTTTAATAACGCTTACGTTTAGTCAGTTCTAAGTAGCCGCACTTTTTACAAAAATGTGAAATCCTACTAAATTTTGAGCCAGTTTCAACGGTCGAGAGATGATGTGAAAGGATACTCTGCATGCAGGCGCATTAAGTACGCCTAGATGATCGAGCTATATCGTCTAGTTGCAGAGTTGGAAATTCAAAAGCAGTTTTTTCGTTTAAAACCGAGATTCTGTCAATGAATAAAATAATTATAATTATAAAACAACGAAATTACAATGATTTTTGGTGTTGAATTTCGAGTACAGTAAAATTTATTGTTAAATTTTTGTACGGGAGATAAAATAAATATCGATTTTAAACGATACAATGCTCAAACAATGAACATTATTGTGATGAGATCAAATTTGTTCGAGAAAAATCAGTATTTTTATTGTTAAGATGCTTAACAACCCCCCTTTTTACTGTAAATTTCTCATATACCATGACCATGACCATGACCAACGCCTATTGTAAACCATAAATTTAGTTGTGATTTTATGGTAATCAACAATAATGTCCAATGTTTTGATAGTAAATATCAAGGTTACAATGACAATGAAAATCATTGTATTTTTGTTTTGTTTTTTTTTTTTTTTTTTTATGAGAAGTATAATGCAACGTAATTTAACCTCTTCGTTTAGAAGTTTATTCTAGAAACTTGCCTGTCACTCTGCTCCTCTGAATAAAAAATACGGGCAGGAGCTCCACTCAATCGAAAAATATTGGGCCATCGTTAAGTGGAACCTGAAGTAGACCCAAAAACGGTTGGAAGCGAAAAGTAGTGTAAGGCAAACTGGATCTCTGAAAATTTGATGGTAGGCGTTAAACAAAAGGCCTAGCATTTCGAATTTGGTCAACCGGAAGCTTATCCGAGCATTTGTTCTGTATTTTATAGTAATTAATCTTAACCCTCCGTTACTCGCACTGTTGTACCATAGAGATAACTCTAAGACAAGTAGGTCCCGAAGAAACGTGCTCAACTTTTTGGCTCACCTCTGGTACTATCTTCGGTCCCAAGCTTGTAGAATCACCCCTCGAAACATAGGAAAAACCAATAACCCCTCATTTTATCTGTCAAACTTTCATAGCGAATCAAAACAAACATTGCGTAGTACTAGAATTTCGACTAGAATAGGGTACGTTAATCGTTTGCTTGGGACCAATAGGCTACTAAAGTGGTGAGCCAATTTAAAATCGTTAGTTTCGTATTGATTGTTGGTTGTACTTTGTACAACGCACATGAGTTTTCCATTGCCATTTTGTTGCTGAGTTACCAATCGATCTGAAGGTGATTCCTCGTAGAGTCCACAAATGGTCACCACGTAGGCTATAAATGCACTTCCACCTCGAATTTTCAATTGCACAAATCTCGGAAATTAAAGTTCCATTTCACCTGAAATTGCTACTGCATGTATGCTGCAGCGCAGTAAACGTGGAGTAACAGTTTCATTGTAGTACGTGCCGTGGAAGCTGATATTTGTGCACTTAAAGTTTCGAAGTGGTAGCGAGAATAATGATCTCACAGCGAACCACCTGAAACAAACGAGTATTTATCAAAAAACTTGTTTTGATCTAAACAAGCTAAACTTTGATTACAGTAAACACCTAAAAAATGCGGATAATAGGGAAAATGTAAATGGAACCCGCGTAAACTGTGACCATACTACATGGGATTTGACTTAATTGATTACAACATGGAATATATCGAGATTCTGACCAGATAGAAAGTTACTGTCTCTGACAAAGTTGTTCAAGAGATCATAGTATTATCGCTGGTGGACAGTAGTTCAGAATTTTCTAACTACGTACAGGGATTTTTTTTTGGTTCTAGACATTTTGAAATTAGTCTAAAATTAAAGGGAGACTCTAAACATTCATTTGGTGGAAGTTTCAGCGATATTGATCTTTTAAGATAATGTTTTCCATCTGAGATACGTGTTACCACTAATTTATCAGAGGTATACAAGTGGAACGACTCACCCCAATTTATGTATCCACAAATCTGCATGAAATTCTTCACCAGTAGAAGAAATCCAGAATATATTCGTCTTATCCCACTTAGGATGATGTAAATTGTATTTTTATTTTATGATATTTGATATGCGAGAATTGCCCGCCAAGTTTTGAAAAATTTCTGAACTACTTTTCATCAACCAAAAGATCTTTATCTCCTTAACAGCTTTGCCAAAAACAGTAAATTTCTAGCTGTTCAGGATCTCGAGATATTATATATGCGAAGAGTGAGAAAATTCTGGACTGTAGACCAACGAAAAAGTTTTGATCTCCTGGACAACTGGACAACAACATATGAATTCTGGCAACACTGCTGGACTGTTGTTTTTAACTTTTACCGTCTGAATATTTTTTAAGTTTTTCGTTTGTAAATCTCCGTATTAAGTGTATATTAAGTTTTTGTTCTACTATCCATTATCCGTCGTGTCACAAAAAACTCAAGTTTAAACTAAATTGTGTATATTAGTCCAGCTAATTCATCAAATTATAATTGTGCCTCTCTGCCAAAATCATCATGGCGAAAAACTGCGGAAAGTGCTCGAAGTCTATTCGTGGCATTGAGTTTGCGAAGTGTGTAGGCTTTTGTGAGCATATGTATCACTACGCTTGCTGTGGACTGACAAGGCAAACCCACGACACTATTCTGGCACACACCATTTGGATATGCAGTGAGTGTAAAACTACCGTCAACAACCGCTCGCTGAAGGAAATTTGTTCCAACGATGATGGTATCACGGCTATCGATGACCTCAAACAGCAGATGCACGAGCTGAATGGAAACGTCCAGTCATTGTCCGACACCGTGTCCGCTTGTGTCAACAACTCGAAGTCTGGATTTCAAAAGCTTGATCGTCAACTGGAAGATACCAACAACAAAATTGAAATGTTCTTGGAGAAAGCCGGAATTGTGGAAGATGCAGCCAGTCACCAAAGAAATCAACAACATCAGAAACATCGAACCGGGGAAGCAACGTTCGCCGAGCAAGGGGCTGCGGATATCAATATCGACGGTCTGACTGCTCCACGTTTACTACCCGAGGAATCCACATCGCTGTTCTGGCTGCATCTCTCTGGGTTTCACCCTCAAGTGTCCGTTGAGGATATCCACAAAGTGGTGGAAGGCTGTTTGAATATGAGCGACACTGTGAAAGCGGTGAAATTGGTGCCCAAGGATAAGGACCTCTCTAGGGTAACGTTTATCTCCTTCAAAATTGGATTACCGCTCGATTTCAAAGACACTGCATTGCTACCCGAAACCTGGCCAAAAGGAATTTGATTTCGAGAGTTCGAGGATTATTCAAAAAACCGGCAATCATCATCCATTCAATAACCACCTTACATGACGTACGACCACCGGGGGAGAATGGGGGCCACCGGGCCCCCAGTCCAGTTAAGTTAATGTATTGTTCTTTTTCACAAAAAACTAAAGGAATGGTGTTTCAGAATAGCCACACCCAGCGAGGTTCCGGGCTGACGTTCTACTACCAGAACCACAAACGAAGTGACAGACGGAGCGGCTCAAAAACTTTGGTGACTAACCTGCTATTGCAATTTTTCAGTGTACCACATGGCAACACTACTACTAGATTGAACTAGCATTTTAACCGAATGTACTAGAATGTTCTGGTTCTATCTCTTTCACTCTACTCAAAACTGAAATGCATAAAAAAATGACAAAATAATACGCTTGCACACTGTCAAAGAATCATTGTACACAAAATCAACTTTGTTCAAATCAAAACAAAAAAACTAACCCATCTGGTGGATGATGGCACAAGCTTCCAAGAAAATTCTATTACAGTGAACCACATTATTTTAATGGATTTCTTCGCCAGTAAGTCGTCTGTCACTTCGTTTGTGACCAGAACGTTCGAGGGCTGCGTAGCAAAATCGAGGATTTCTTGACTGCCGTCTCTACTTCTCCATACGACGTTGTAGTTCTGACCGAGTAGTACTTGGCTCGACGATGTTATTCCGTCCCGGATACTGTTTGGTGACAACTTCGTGGTATACCGAGGTGACCGCACTGCACTTACTAGCAACAAGAAACGGTCCGGTGGAGCCCTCAGCGCGGTTAGAAAAAACATCCCGTCGTCGGTTTTCCCGGTAAATGAGCATCAAATGGAGCATGCCTGGGTCAGTGTTTGTGCAGAAAATTGCAAGATAATTGTTGGTGCCGTATTCTGACTGGTTCTGCAATACCTCCGGTGTACCTCAAGGAAGTAACTTGGGACCGTTGCTATTTTCGCTGTACATCAATGACGCAACTGTGCTTCTGGAAAATGGATGTTACTTTATTTATGCTGATGATACAAAAATCTATGTGATCGTTGAAAACGAAGACGACTGTCTGCGACTCCAGGAGGCACTGGACAAGTTTGCATTGTGGTGTCGTGCCAACAATATGACCCTCAGCGTACCTAAATGCCACGTCATTAGCTTCCACCCCAAGAAAAATTTTCTTCAATATGAATATGTCATCGACGGAACCACCCTATCACGCGTGCAGACAGTGCGTGATCTTGGAATTACATTGGACTCAAGTCTCACGTTCAGGAACCAACACGAAGATGTTATTGCGAAGGCACGACAGCAGCTTGGTTTCATTGGAAAGGTGACAAAGGAGTTTCAAGATCCTTACACATTGAAATTGCTGTATGTTAGTCTTGTTCGTCCAATTCTCGAGACAGGCTGTATTATATGGGATCCGTTTCATATCACCGTGATCGTTCGCATAGAGGCCGTTCAGCGCAAATTTGTGCGATACGCTCTTCGCAACTTACCGTGGAATGACCCGGTTAATCTGCCACCCTACGAGAATAGATGCCAACTACTGGGATTGGAAACGCTGGAACGAAGGAGGAAGAACGCGAAAGCTCCGCTTACCACGCTGGCGACAGGACTACGACGGTAACGAGCCAGTACGTGCAGTCATGCGCAATTTCAACGATGTTTATAATTTGTTTGACTTCAATGAAAACTCTGTTCAATTTCGCTCAAGGCTAAGAAGAATGAATTGATGTTGATGCTAAGAATTATTCATTAAGACAACAAATTGTCGGATGAAGATATCAAAGTAGTAATAATAATAATAATAATAATAATAATAATAATAATAATAACTTTGCCCATGACAGTTTAGCAGGTCTCGAAATATATCTAATGCGAGAATTGCACGTGTATACAAGCGCAATGATGTGAAAACAAATTGAATTTCTGAAAAACTTTGCGCAAGACGCTTAGGAAATTCTCAACTATTGTACACCAAGCAATAGGCTTTGACCTCCTGAACAACTTTGTCGGAGACAGTAACTTTCTATCTGGTCAGGATCTCGATACAAACCACATGCGAGAATTTCATGTGTATACTAGCGCTACGTAGTGAGCAAGGGGGAAGACATTGTAATATATATTTCATATATTGAGAAGATTAGACGGGTTTAAAAATATTGGCGATATTTCGCTATATATTTCCCCGCTGTCAAGATACTGATGAGTTTTTTTTTCTCTTTATTTGTTCCAAATTCAAAATAAATTACATTTCATTTTTAACCTAGGTGCTCCAGTTACTGCAGTAACGTACCAGCCTTAATTATTATGATATATATCTAAGTGTTTTTACATTGTTCATGTCTTGGCAATTAAGTATTTTAAACAGGTTTTTTATACCTGCATGTCAGTATAACAATTGATATCTTAAAACTAAAAAACTAAAACTAAATCTTATCTAAGTATAAATGGAATTAATCGTTGCAATTGAGGATTGCAACGATTTTTGCCTGAAATTATTCATTATTTTGTTAAACATTTGTTCTAAAGTCACAACATTCGAAATTCTATGTACCTCGGTAGTACTGTACCAGGGAGGCAACTTCAAAATCATTTTCAGAATTTTGTTCTGAATCCTTTGAAGTGCTTTTTTCCTGGTAGTGCAACAACTAGACCATATTGGCACAGCGTAAAGCATGGCCGGTCTAAAAACTTGTTTAAATATTAGAAGTTTATTCGTCAGGCAAAGTTTGGATTTCCTGTTTATAAGAGGATACAAACATTTAATATATTTGTTACATTTAGCTTGAATGCCTTCAATGTGATTTTTAAAAGTTAATTTTTGGTCAAGTATTAATCCAAGATATTTCACTTGGTTTGACCAGGAAATTGGAACTCCGTTCATAGTGACTATGTGACTACTACTAGGTTTCAAAAACGAAGCTCTAGGCTTGTGTGGAAATATTATAAGTTGAGTTTTGGAAGCGTTGGGAGAAATCTTCCATTTTGACCAAGAAAGACAAGGTACTCTCTGGGAGTTTTTTGATGAGGATATAGAAAATTGCATAATCACCTGGAGCTTTCATATTTTGAAACTTTTTAGTTATAGACCTTACTTCGTCCAAATCAGTCCCCCAGGAATCATCAAAAATATTTTCCCGAGAGAAAATATTCAGAAAATCCCGAGCAACCTGATTCTCAATAGGACTAGTAAGACCCAAACTGAAATTATGGGAACTCTCGAATTGCTTAGCAAGTTTCTGAGCTTTTTCCAAATTTGTGATCAAAATTTTACCACCTTCTTTAAGCGCTGGAATAGGCTTTTGAAGTTTTTTCAAAATTTTTGTGAGTTTCCAAAAGGGTTTGGAACTCGGGTCTAATTTAGAAATATTATTTTCAAAAGTTTTGTTCCTCAGGGCAGAGAATCACATTTTAATTTGTTTTTGTAAATCCCGCCAGATAACATTCATGGCAGGATCGCGTGTTCTTTGATATTGTCTCCTACGGACATTTTTAAGACGGATCAAGAGCTGAAGATCGTCGTCTATTATAATTGAATCGAATTTAACCTCGCATTTTGGTACTGAGGCAGCTCTTGCTGCAACTATAGAAGTAGTCAGAGATTCAAGAGCATAATTAATTTCATCTTTGGTTTGCAACGGAATGTTTGGATCGAAGTTATATTCCATAAATGTTCGATACTGCTCCCAATCAGCTCTATGGTAATTGAAAGTAGAGCTGTTGGGATTACAAATTATTTCTTGGGATATTTCAAAAGTTACTGGAAGGTGATCAGAACCGAAGTCAGCATGGGTAACCAATCGGCTGACATGAATCAGTTAAGATCAAATCAATAGTGGAGGGATTTCTTGCAGAAGAAAAGCATGTTGGGCTGTTTGGATATTGAATAGTGTAATAACCTGCAGAACAATCATCAAACAGAATATTACCATTGGAATTGCTTTGAGCATTATTCCATGAGCGGTGTTTTGCATTAAAATCACCAATAATGAAGAATTTAGACCTATGACGGGTAAGTTTCTGGAGGTCACCCTTGAGAAAATTCTTTTTCTGGCCTACGCATTGGAATGGCAAATAGGCAGCTATAAACGTAAGTTGTCCAAATTTTGTTTCAACAGAAACCCCCAAAGTTTCAAAAACTTTGGTTTCAAATGAAGAAAGAATGTTATGTTTGATTCGTCTATGAATAATGATGGCAACGCCACCACAGGGTCCATCAAGACGATCATTTCTATAAATCAAGTAATTTGCGTCCTTCTTAACCTTATGGGCAGGTTTAAGGAACGTTTCAGTTATAACGGCAATATGCACGTTATGAACTCTCAAAAAGTTAAATAGCTCGTCTTCATTATCTTTAAGAGATCGAGCATTCCAATTTACAATATTTAATGCTTTAAAATCCATTACTGAATTTTAAAGTCATGACAATATGGTTTGCAAATTTTACTCCAGTTTGAATAGCATCAAACATGGAGTTAGATTTAAGCATATCAGAAATCATGTCAATTAATGATTTCTGTTAAAATTCCATTTTAGGGGCAGTAATGCTTCCTAAGTCAAAATTGTCAAAATTTCCGTTAGAATTACTTTGGTTAGTATTTTGATTTCTACCCGCTGCAATAGCAGCATAGGTAGCTCCATTAACTCGCTGAACATTGTTAGCAGCGAGGGGAGTAGGTACAGATGAAAAATTTGAAGCAGGGGTGATATTTGTACCTACAGGTACGAATGTAGAATTTGTTCCTCGCTGACCGTTGTTAACAGCAGAGGAATTTGTACCTGGTCGGAAACGTGGAGCGTTTCTTACCTGTCGGTTAGAACGAGATTGTAGGATCGCTTTGCGAGTCTTACATTCCCAAAAATTGGATTTGTGGTTTTCACCACAATTTGAACATTTAAATTTCTTAGGATCTTCCTTCACAGGACAGTCGTCCTTTGCGTGAGAGGAATCACCACAATTCATGCATTTAGCTGGCATGTAGCAAT